AGACGGATCGAATGGTACCAAAATTGTCGAGTTTGATCTCTGGTTCATGAGATAATTACATTTGAGTGATTTTTATAAACACCTACATAACTCGCCACCCAGTGGTCCAAATTTAACAATTTTGATACCATTCGATTCCTCTCAATGAGACGGTTCGAATGGTATTAAAAACGCTAAAATTGAATCCTTGGGTGGCGAGATATTCACAAAAAACGTTTTGCGGCACAATTCTGCGCAGACTTTAAATTTTGTTTTTACAGCTAAATTCAAATTTTATGGACCACCTTAAATTTATTTTGAAGTATTGTTGGGATGGCGGGTAGCGAGTGATCATGAGTTTTAGATTATATATTATTTTGATATTAATGTAGATGTTTTATTAAAATACATATACTAAATACAAAAAAATAAATACAATACTAAACATGTTCTAAATAATGATTTTTCTAAACTATGGTCTATTTAATATAATATATAGATAGATATATAATGATAATTATAAATTCAATAGATGTAAATTATTTTTTTGCTATATAGTATTTATTATGACTGAAACGTTAGCTTATCAACCAAATATATGCCCTATATGTTTAGTATGTATAGTATGTGCTAAATCATATAGTAAAGACTGTACTTGTCCTTTTACTAAAATATATTTAAATAAGAAAAGTAATAGTTACCAACTTAATTTTTGCAAAAAACCACTTATGCAAGCTGCTGCAACAATTAGAAAAAAAAAACTTGATAAAGAATTTGTTAAATGGTTTCATAGCAATTATGCTTCCAATTTTGAAGTTCTACCAGATTTAAATTATGTTAATATTTGTCATGGATGCAATAATAAATATACAAAAAAAAGTATATAATTTTAAATTTGTTTTTTTATAGTAAAAAACATTATTTGATTTTTTAGATTATAAATTTAGAAGATTTAACCTTACAAGAATCATTAATTGAAACTGAATCAGAAGAAGTCATAGATTTAACTACTGATATAATTTCAAATGTTCAAGAGCATAAAAAAATTAAACCTTTGTCAAACAAAAAATTTAGAAGTATGTTATTTAAATTTAATAATTATATATAATATATAAAATTAACAATTAATTATATATACTACTACTAACTTTATTATTAAAGAATATATATCGTTAGTATGTTTTAATCAATTTAAACAACCAAGAAAAAAATTAGATGGTGCTATCCCAATACCAATAGATCTCAATACATTAACCTCATTTGAAGAACTAGATCAACTCCATTTATGCACAGGAACCTGCCTACCGGTTGGTTAGGCCAGAAAAAAAATTAACACTTGGTCCTACTATTAGGCCAAATATAATATTTCTTTAAATTATATTTTAACTATAGTAACCTAGATAAGTCTTTGACCACTCTAGTAGGTTTAGGTCACAGATAAAT